CAAAAAGTTAATGGAAATGAGGATGACCGAGTGGAAAAATACGAGAATTGAAGCGAGAATTTGAACCGACTCGACTTGAGTGCGAGAAAACACTTGCATCCGGTAGGAAAATCGATTTTTGTGTGATCTGGAACGCACGCTAAGTACCTATGAGCGCAGATATTCGATTTTCTGAACTTTTATAAAACCATTTCCCTTGTGCAGACTTTGCAACTCTTAACCCCGAAAAAAGCTCTTAATTATCCTAAATTTTCCACTTCATTGGTCTTCCTGGAAGTCATTCTTTGCAATGGAGAGGCCGGGAAGGGGTGAAAGTGCTCGCTTCAACTCGACCAGTCTGCTCTTCTCCTTCGGGAGACTTTGTAAGCCGAAAAGAAATTAATTACGAAAAATTTTCGGCTTTTTGTATTTCCTGGAAGTCACCACGGGGTCGGGATGGAAAATGAGTTTGAAAAGTTCGCTTTTGCGGAAGTGGTTCAGCGGCATCCCGGAGTCGCTCTCAGACTTGGGCTAATTTCGTATGCAAATTTTGCAAGTTTTGCAATTTTTGTTCGTTCTGGATGTCACCAAGTAATTTGCATATAAAAAAAAATCGATAGTTTCTCAAAATTTCAAATTCCAGTCCCAAGCACCGTTTTTGACTTGAGCTAATTCGTATGCAAATTTGCCAATTTTAGCCTTTTTCAAAACTTTTTGCTCATTCTGGATGTCACCAAGCAATTTGCATACAAAAAAATTCATAATTTCTCAAATTTTCAAATCCCAGTCCCGAGCACCGTTTCTGACCTGGGCTAATTTCGCATGCAAATTTTATTTTTTGCAATTTTTCAAATATTTTTGCTCATTCTGGATGTCACTAAGCAATTTGCATACAAAAAATTCATAATTTCTTTAAATTTAAATTTCCTTCCAAAGCAACGTTTTTGACCTGGGCTATTTTCGTACACAAATTTTGCAATTTTAGCCTTTTTCAAAACTTTTTGTTCATGCTGGATGTCACCAAGCAATTTGCGTACAAAAAAATCGATAGTTTCTCAAAATTTCAAATTCCAGTCCCAAGCACCGCTTTTGACTTTGACCAAAATTCCAGCTCGTTTCTTCATTTTTGGAAAAAATTTCGCTTCTATACCCAATTCTGGAGGTCATCCATGCCAAAAAAGTGAAAATAATTAAATTCTTTCGACTTTTCGACTTTTCGACTTTTTCACTTTCAAGACGAAAATAGCCGTTTTTTCTGGGGCGTATTTTGTATTCCGATAGCGGTGTTTCCTCAAAAAAAACATTCTTAAATTCTCCATTTTTCCTTTTAAAGGGCTAATTTCTTACCCAGTTTTGCTAAATTCAATAAAAAGAGATGAAAAAATCGAAATTTTTGTAAAAACACTAAAATTTAATGAATTTTCAAGTAGACGCAAATTTCCGCGAAACGATTTTCAATAAATTAGTTGAATATTTTTCAATTCTGGTCCTCAGGCAGTAGGTTGGATCGTTGAAAGTGTTGAAAGTTGTACAATATTTTTGTTGGAATGCTGCCTGAGCAGAAGGAAACGATCGGGCACGATTTTAGCAATGCAGCGATTTCGCAAAGGCTTAGGCTTAGGCTTAGGCTTAGGCCCAGGCTTAGGCTCAGGCTAAGGTCAAGCTCAGGCTCAAATTCAGGCCCAGGCTAAGGCTTAGGCTCAGGCTTAGGCTTAAGCTTAGGCTTTGGCTTAGGCTTAGTCTTAGGCTTAGGCTGTTATCCTGGATGTCACTGAACGTAGCTGTTTAATTGTTGATGGATTTGATGGAGTTTTTAAGCTTTCTAAGATTTTGCACACATTTCTGTTACACCATCGACAGAAAAAAGCGGCCATTTCCTCGCTGATAAACGCACTTTCGGGATTTCTTTGCAAAAGACGCATCCAGGAATCCAGGAAAGCCAGGAAGCCATGATCAATCGCTCGTTTCCTTTTTGAAATTCAAAAACTGGTAAACGATGAAAAAGTTCGATTTTTGCTTTGATGAGTTGACTTCAGCCGACAATTTTTCCGATCATCAAATTTTCGTTTCCAAAGGGTTTTTTAAGTTCAACTATTGCAGTGACATCCAGATTGACCAAAAAATATTGAAAACTTTTAATCGAGCAAAATCTGGCGATATTTTCGAGTCAGCCCGCTTGTCTCACTTTTCTCAGTCACCAGAATTTTTCCCTTTAAAGCACTTTTTCAAAACCAACTACTGCAGTGACATCCAGATTGGCTAAAATTTGCTGAAAGATTTTAATCGAGCAAAATTTGGGGTCAATTTTTACTCAATCTTGTTTGCGCTTCGAGGAACTTTCAAAAATTGCTCTCCCTTTCCATTCTTAACTTTAATTTTTAAGATTTTCAAAAAAAGCAAAAACTTTCCAGCAAATTAATTTTATTTATGGATTTTGGAAGGATGAAAACACAACTTTTAAAGCTAATCCGATCGTTTTCTCATTTTTCTCATGTTCACTCAAGATTGGGCGTTTTTAGAGGTCAAATTGAAACTTCGCTCTACTTTTGACTAAACTATCATAAACTATGGATGTCAGTACATCTGTTTTTGAAGTTAATTTTTCAATTTGATGAAATCTACTTTTTGATCAGATGGCCGAGTGGTTAGCGCGCTTGGCTACGAGCCACACGTCGAGGGTTCGAGTCCCGGGTGCGCAGATGATTTCCTAGAATTAGAAATAAAAATCGTAAGCATTGATTTCAAAATCGGATCTTTTGATGAATGTAGAGAAAAAGAGACGTTTATTTTAATGCGCGAGCCAAATTTAGACAAATTTAGAGATTTCCCCCAAGCACTGATCGGTTGATGGAGAACCCGGAAATTTTTTTTGCCCTCCCCTCCACCTACCCCTTTTCATTTTCTAATGTATTCTTTCTGTTCTTTCTGTTCTTCGTTTTTCAAAGCTTTTCCCTTGAAAAGGGCCCTGAAATCCCCTTGAGGGGACCGTGTGAGAAATGGGGATGAGGCGGGGAAAGAAGAGGTGGCTGCGATGGGATTGGAAAGGTGGGTGGAAACGCGTGCGATGAAGATGTTTAAGATGGGTAATCTGGAGCACACGGCAGCACTCTATCGATTTTGTTTCGAGCTAGAGGCTGTTTTTGTGTTTTATGACCAGAGTTGCTTAGGTTTCGTTCAAGTTTGACCGTTTTCTCCGCCCGGGTTACAAGATCAGCTTTTCAATGTGAACATTCACCAATCTGGAGCACACGGCAGCATTTTTTCAATCCAGTTTTGCGCTAGAGGCTGTTTTTGAACTTTTTGCTTTCCAACCCTACAACATACGACAGTTTACAGGCTGTAATTACTGTAATAGGCTTCTTTTAAAAGGTTCATTTGCTAGTCTGGAGCACACAGCAGCACTCTATCGATTTTGTTTCGAGCTAGAGGCAGTTTTGTGTTTTATGACCTGAGTTGCTTAGATTTCGTTCAAGTTTGACCGTTTATACTCTATTCGGATTACAAGATCAGCTTATCAATACGATCATTCACCAGCTGGAGCACACGGCAGCACTCTATCGATCCAGTTTTGGGCTAGAGGCAGTTTTTGTGTTTTATGACCTGAGTTGCTTAGCTTTCGTTCAAGCGACCATTTATACTCCGTCCGGCTTCCAATATCAGCTTATCAATGTGATCATTCACCAATCTGGAGCACACGGCAGCACTCTCCCGATCCATTCACTGTTTTCATTGCTTAACTAATTTTTCGAAATATTGTTAAAAATTTTCCGAGTTTTTGTTGCGCTTTTGTCGCGAGCGATTCCACTTTGCGCCGAATTTTCACCAAAAGTTTCCCTTCTAAATGTCGTGACTGCTTTTAGACTTATACAATTATTGCCAGAATTTCAGCTATACCGTAGAAAAGACGTCTAATCCCGTTGAAAGCTGTTGTTTCTTGTAGCGGCCCGGTTTCTTGTTGTATCTTTCAAAATTTCGATCAATTTTTGCAAATCCGTTTATCCTGGATGTCACACCAGCATTTGGAATCAAAAAATTCGGCTAAATCGATAAAATTTTTCGATCGGTTTCGTTACGCAATTTCCCAATCTCATAGTCCGCTAAAAGTCGGGAATCTCTCAAAATCTTCAAAATATTCTTTCATCCTGGATATCACAATTGCTATTGGAATCAAAATCTCGGCTAAAATCCCCAAAAAAAATAAAAAAAACAACTCTTTTCGTTTTAATTGTCCAAGCGTGTAAATGTCTTTTTTTTTCTTTCAAAAAAGCGGGATTTTCTCTGATGCGTCTGGCCCGCCCCCGTAATCCCATTTTTGGCCCGCTTTCCCCCCAAAAAATTCACCTCAGCTGATCCAACAATGCTGAGTGAAATGTCGATTTGATTCAGAATTTTTCACGAAAACATTGCATCGCGAGCTTGGCTCATTTTTTCTTTAAATTTTTGTGTTAATCTAAAATTTATTGACATTTTCGTGAATTCTGAAGCACATGGAAAATTTTTTTCGATAATTTTCCGACTCGTAGAATCATTTTTTTTATTTTATTACTTCAATTCCGAGAATTTCCCCATTGGAAAAGCTAAATTTCTGAGAATTTCCAAGAATTTTCAAAGCTTTTCCCCACTAATGGATTAAAATTATGGTTTCCACAGGGGAAAGCTTTTTCACCAACCGCCTAATTACTGGCTTTTGTGAAAAATATTTCGAGTTCGAATTCCCATAAAATTACGAGTACTTGACTACCCATGAGAATTTTTTTTGTCAATCCTGGTTGTCCTTGAACGTAACTGCCAAGTTCTTGCACTTTTCCATATTTTGCCCTGCACTTTCAAAACTTAAATGCTGACTGTTTCATTTTGTCGAGTTGATCGACTGTTTAGGACATTTTCATTTTAACCGATCAATCGAAATTTGACAGTTTATTTAGCGATGAAATACCTGCAGCAGATCAAAATATAACCCGCAAATAAATAGAAATATGCAATAGGACACTAGATATGGATATAGTACAAACGATTATTCATTCTTGTTGCGGCTCCTCGTTTCTCATCACTTCGGGAATTGGTGGAGGCTGGCTGAGTGGCTCGACGTCCGGCTCTAGTTGTCCTGGGAATAGTAGAAAGAGTTGAATAGGCGGCGAAAACTAAAATGAAAAAACTGTTAAGGGAAAATTTTTGTCTTTTATAGAGTTAGGGGACTTTTGAATAGGTTCAAAAGTCGAGCTCAAATGCACATAACATTCTTTAGAAACAACATTTTCATTTGCTTTTATATCTTTAAGTGAAAACATTCCAGGCTTTCGAATTAGACTAAAAAAGCTGAATTGAAAAGATAAGTCCTAAAAGAATCAAAGCAAACTTGGAATATGCGATTTAACTTGAGAAAGGCTTGGTTTTCTCAGGGTTCATCTTTCGAATTGGGCCCTTTTTGGTCTCATTAAAAAGCATTGGATTTTCTCTTCAAAATTTTATAAAACGTTTACAATAACAATGGATAAAGTTATGAACTTATAAAATATTCGTAACTTTCTACTCATTTAAAAACCGCCTTTCAAGCTACAGGAGCCAAAATTTTTAAGGCAAAAGGCCGAGAATAGGATTTTGGGAGATGCCTACTTATCATGGTTAAGCCTCAATACTGCAATTACAAAACCCACTTTTGTGCCCTCCGGTTGAAATTCACACGAGCTCAGTTTCCTCTTGTCGTCGAGTTTTATCCACGTTTCTACGGGTTTCCATGCGAGTTGAAAAACGTCTTGAATCTAAATGTTATGTTTGAAATCTGGAACAGAATAAATTTACCTTAAAAAGATCGGCAACAACTCTTCTTAGCGCTGCAACATTCTTCTGATCCTTTATCGTGTAGAAAAGATGCTTCTTTTTGTACCAGATTTCGAATGAGACGTCTCGTGAGACCTAAACACTATAAACCAACAGACCGTACCCAGAAAAAAATTTTTTGATTTGTATTGCTATGTACGCTCTAGCTTCACATTTGTGAAAAATGGTTCTTCCTAGTTCGGCGGATTCTTTCAAACAATTTCAACTTTCAGAGCTAAACTGGGATTTCTGAATCGGTGCGCAAGAAAAATACAAGAGTCTTTCTTCAAAAGACAAAGTTAGCGCCCATGTAGCAATACAAATCGGATCACACACTCCTGCCACAAACATAACACTTACCATGCCTACTAACAATCACGCGATATCCCAACTAGGGCAAGCAACGTTGATCTTGAAGAATTCTTTTTGGCTCGTTCCTGCAAACAGTAAAGATTTTATTTAGCCCGTTCAGGTATACCGCAAACTATGGTTTTCCTCTTTACTTTTACCAAGATATCAAAACATGTACAAACTGCATCACCCCTTAAATCTAATTGTTGTACATTTATTGAAATTTTACAGCGGGACAATTCACAGACACCTCAAAATTCAAACTGACAATTTTAAAAAAGCATGACACGGTAAAACATTAAACAAATTAGACAGAGGAATACAAATCGTCAAATTCTTTGAATCGGTTTATTCTTTAGTTGCTTCTCCCGATTCGGGTACTCCCTCGTACGGTGCAGGCAAGCGTTCGGCATTTGGCTCAATGTTCCAGATCTCGCGAGAATATTCTAAAATGCAAATATTTTAAGATTTGACGCAAAAACACGTACCTGCAATCGTGCGATCGGCCGAGAATTTCCCTGTTGAAGCAATGTTCATCAGCGCCATTCGAGTCCATTTCTCTTGATCCAAGTATGCTTCGGCAACTTTGTCTTGGCATTTGATATAGGCATCGAAGTCGGCGCAAACCATGAATCTGTGAGAATATTGAAGTCAAGAAGTCAAATTGCAGAAAAACTAACCGGTCATTTGTGCGCAACATATCTGCGACCTCTTTGAGCTGGCCAGGGTCTTCAGGTGTGAACATTCCCGCTTCAATCTCTTCGATGATTCGCTTCAAGGTTGGACTCTCCGCGATGAAATCCTCGGCTCGATATTGTGATTGTAGCTCCTCGACTTCCTTGACGTTCATTCCGAAGATGAAGATATTCTCGAGTCCCATCTCTTCTGCCATTTCCACATTTGCTCCGTCCATTGTTCCAATTGTAAGGGCTCCGTTCAACTAAAATAAAAGTAGAATTGAAGCAAACTCGATTACTAAACCATAAACTTCATATTTCCTGTGCCCGAAGCTTCGGTTCCAGCGGTTGAAATTTGCTCAGACAGATCCGCCGATGGGATGATCTTCTCGGCCATCGAGACGCGATAATTCTCAAGGAAAACCACCTAAATTTATGCAAATTTCGTCTTCTAAAACAAAGAGTACCTTTAACTTGTCTTCAACGATCGGGTCATTGTTCACCGTTTCAGCAACAGCTGTAACTAGCCGAATCACTAACTTTGCCATGTGGTATCCGGGCGCAGCCTAAATTAAACGGAAAATCAGGATAATTCCTTTGCATCTGCACCTTTCCTCCAAACATGACGGTTCGTGGCACCATTTCGATCTCCGGGTTTTCCTTGATCCGATTGTAGAGGGCGATCACATGCAGAATGTTCAACAGTTGCCGCTTGTACTCATGGATGCGTTTAACCTAAAAAACTGGATTATTAGTCTATCGTTGAAAGTCATACGTGAATGTCAAAGAGCGAGGACGGATTAATCGACACATCATATTCCTCCTTCAGGTATTTGGCCACTCGCAATTTGTTCTCCATCTTGACTCGCCGTAGCTCTCTCAAAAGTGTTTGATCATCTTTGAATTGCTTTAGTTTCTGCAACTCGTCCAAGTTTGTGATCCAAGAGTCGCCGATTTTCTAAAAAAAGCTTAATCTTTATGCTATCGTGATCTCGAATAACCTCGCAGATAAGATCAGCAAGCATTGGATTTGAGAGTAGAAGCCATCTTCGTGGCGTGATTCCATTCGTTTTGTTTTGGAACTTTTCAGGGAACATCTCGTAGAAATCCTTGAATCTAAAAGAAATAACATTCATTTTAAAGATGCAAGTAAACCAACGTGTGTGATTTGAGCAGATTCGAGTGCAGCGCAGCAACTCCATTAATAACATGCGATGCGACGATGCACAGATGAGCCATGTTGATGCGCTTTTCACCAAATTGATCTGCTTCTTCCACAATCGACATCCGGCGCAATCGCTCCTCATCTTTGGGGAATCTTTCTTGCACTGTCTAAAACTAGAATTTTTTAAGAACGTCTCAGTAAAAGCAAACCTTCATGAAACAATGATTGATCTTGTAGATGATCTCCAAGTGACGAGGAAGTAGACGTTCGATGAGAGAGACCGGCCATCGCTCCAGCGCTTCGGGCAACAAAGTGTGATTGGTGTACGCGTACGTCTTCTGGCAGATCTCCCATGCAGCATCCCACGAAATCTCCTCGACATCCACTAGAAGGCGCATCAGTTCCGGGATTCCAATCGACGGATGCGTGTCGTTGAGTTGAATTGCCACCTTATCCGGGAACGTGCTGAAGTCGACGCGGAGCAAGTCTCGGCAGCCGTATTTCGCAGATTTGAAGCGACGAATGATATCCTAAACAGTGGATGTTGAAGAAAATTATGAATATTCTACCTGTAGAGACGCGGCAACGAGGAAATATTGTTGCTTCAGGCGCAGCTCCTTTCCCACAAACATGTTGTCGTTCGGGTAGAGCACGCGGGTGATGTTCTCCGACGTATTCCTGTCCATCACCGCTTGCACATATTCGCCATCGTTGAAGAACTTGAGGTGGAAGTGGTTCTCGGCTTTCGCTGACCACAACCTAAAACTCAATAATCAACATCAAATGGGGCAAAAACTTACCGCAAAGTGTTGACCACGTTGTTCTGATATCCAGGAATTGGCGTGTCATACGGCATCGCGAAGACGAGCTGTGTTTCGACCCATTTCGACTTTCCATCATCGTCCTTTTCGACTCGACCATAAAAGTTCACCGGCAGCATGTATTCCGGACGAGCCTTCTCCCATGGATTGTCGAAACGAAGCCAGTCATCAGGCTCTTCGGTCTGAAAACAAATGATACAAAGCCAATGAGACAACTTCGCACCTGCCATCCGTCTTTGATGAACTGCTTGAAGATTCCATATTCGTAACGTAGCCCATATCCACAGGCGGGAATCCCAAGCGTAGCCATAGCTAAAGAGAATATTAATTTGTAAACAACCATTCGTCTTACAATCAAGGAAACACGCTGCTAAACGTCCCAATCCACCATTTCCCAGTCCTGCATCTTCTTCGATTTCCTCTAATTCCTCCATATCGAGACCCAACTAAAGGAGCAAGATTTTCAGACGTTATTTAGATAGTAAACCTGATAAAGTGCCTCATCAACAGTGGCTTGAATGCCAAGATTGATCATCGTATTGGAAAGCGTGCGGCCCATGTAGAACTCGAGTGACAAGTAGTACACCCTCTTCGGATCCTTCTCGTAGTAGTGTTGCTGGGTGCGAATCCATCGACTGACGATATGATCCCGCACAGTATTTGCCAACGCGAAGTAGTAGTCCCGAGGTGTAGCAACGTTGCGGTCCTAAATTAAAAGGTTAAAAAAGCGAAGAGAAAATTTATATTTGAAGATACAGAGCAAAATGTGAGCTACGACTTTTTAGTTAGGCATTTTAACCAACATCAAGGTTAACACTTCTTTAAGACAGCTCCAGGGATGCATAGGCCATTAAGGCGCTTTGTTGGGTTACAGGGGCCACTTCTGGTTTGGTTTAGTCGAATCTAATGTCTTAAGGAATTTTGTCGATGCACTTCTTCTATTCTAGATGCAAGCATATATGTTCAATCGATTGTTGATAGTTTTAGAGCATTTCCAACATGTTACAAAGCAAACTGCAGCTCTTATTTGATTTCAAAATGTATTCGAGATAAGGTTTGCTGGTTAAAATACAGCAGATTAGGCGAATCATCGGCTAGAATTACCAAAAAACGCTGTAAACTATGAGCAATTACTTCAAAAATATTTGATTACCCCCAGAATAGAAGAAGCAATACAATCAACAATTGAAAGATGCAACCCGGCAACTCTCATTAGATTTTACCCTTCACAACAACAGTTTGGGTTTACTATAAACAATCAATCACCCTTAAATCCTCACCTTGATCACCGAGAAATGTAGATGACGGTTAAAAGTCTTCTTGATGTTGGTGACGTTTTCGACTTGGGCGATTCCGCGCACCGAGATTTGTTTCCGACGCTCGTGATCACTTTGACTTTGACTTTGCCGCTCGTCGTTCGTTTCTTCAGGCTTCCTCGGGCTTCCGACGCCAATTGACGAGACAGACTTCTTCTTGGCGAACAATCCGTGAAAGACACCGAACATCTCGCGATAACTACCTAAAAGAAGAACTTTTGTTGATTCAAGAAACACAAAAGCAAATGTGAAACAGTGAGGGCTTTTTAAGAAAATTGGAGTCGCTGTTGAAGCTATTTTTAAGCGCTGTGTGCTAACGATCAAAAGCAAGTCGAGCGCTGTAAAAACTCAAGCAAAGCGTTAGCTAATGAGCTTATAAAAGGCTAGCGAGTATTCTATAGCGTTAAGAGCAAGCAAATGTAAAAGTGTTTAGCTATTAATCCGACTTTTTCCCAACAAGACATTTCTTTTTCCTACTTTTTCCTAGCCTGCTTGGCTGCTAAACTAAAGTTTCTTAGCGCTTTTAAAGCGCAAAGTTACAGGCTCTAAAACGTAAAGTTCTAAAGCGTAAAATAATATTGCAACCGGGAAAGCAGCCAGACGACCCGTAAATTCCAAGATTCCAGCTCAAATAACAGTGCAACACGGGGAGCCCTTCAAAAAATGATTTATTTTCCCTTTGGTCTCTTTTTATGCCACTTTGTCTCTTTTAAGGATATTCAGACAAGAGATTGATGTATTTTGTCGGCTTTTTTATGAAAAACTTGATTTTTCGGGGGTGGGACAAATGCGACCTTTTTTTTGCGCACTTGGACATTTGCGCACCTTTTTTTCCGCACTTAGCCCATTAGCGCACCTCAGCGAGGTGTGATTTGTCGAAATTCGGAATCTACGCATACGATTCCCTTCTATGAAAACATTTTTGAAGCTCTTCGACCTTTCCTAAGGCCTTTTCCAGCAAAAAAAAAGGTCGCATTTGTCCCACCCCCGGTTTTCCAAGTATTTTCTTAACGCTAATTAGCGATAATTGACAGAAATATTATTAAAATAGATAGCTCGACAGCTGTAGAAGCTCTATGTTAGCTGACAGCTTCTACAGCTAACATAGCGATCTATGTTAACTTTAGACGAAGCCAAAAATGACTTTGTTGTCATTTTTTTGATCTGTCTTCGCACTGTTTCTATTTGCGATTATAACCTGCTTCCACATTTCTCTATTCCTTGCTATCGTCATCCAGTGTTTCCTATCTTGGTTGTTCCTGGTTCGAAGGCTTCGACTTGCTTGCGCTGGTGCTGGTTGCACTCTAGCCATCCTTTCTCTGACCGTCTCTGCCACTCTTGTGCTCCACCTCGTTGCTGGTCTTCCGATGAGCCTCTTCTGGTCTCGTGGTAGCCACTCTGTGATCCGTATCGTCCATCTGTCGTCTGTTCTTCTGGCTACGTGGCCGGCCCATCTGAGTCTTTTTCTCTCGATCACTTCCACTGGATCTCTGAGTCCCGAGAGCTGGCGCATATCCCTACTTCTTAGGTCTTGGTCGAGCTGCGTCTTCCTATTGTGCCCGAGGAGGTTCAATAGTATAGTCAAAAGTAAAACTCCTGTATTTTTCTGAGGTTCAATAAAACTCCTGTATTTTTCTTAATTTCTCGATCCTGGGTCGCATTTTAGTTTTCGAGAACATTTTGCGGACTTTTTTCACCTTCGCTAAAGCTCACTCAAATAGAGTTTTCTTGTCAGACTATTACCGTAATACCTCTAATAGTACCGCACCCGTACAGCCACGTAGTCGCAAAAATTTTTTTACTAAATCATTTTTTTTTCTAGGCGCCCATAATTTCTCAAAATGCATGTTTGGTATCAAAAAATAGCCCTGAATTTCAGCTTTCATTTGATATTTAAGCGCACGCTGTAGCATAAACGGGTGGCGAGAAAAATGCGCTAAAGTTAGACTACGCAACGCTCCGACCGTCATTATAGGGGCGCGGATGGCGGGAAAAATGCGTTTAAAGTTAGACTACGCGACGCTCCGACCTATGGGGGCGCTACTATTAGAGGTATTACGGTATTTCCAAAAGTACTCAATCAAACAGCTGAATCTTCGTTTCGTTTTCGAATGTCTTCTTAAGAAGACAAGAATCTTAAGGAGATTTCTTAAGAGTTCACCAAAAAAATGTAACCAACAAGAGATGCGACCACATCCATTTAGAATTTGAATTGGCGTTCTCAGCTTCGAGAAAGGCCAGCAAACCCAATTCTATCCGATCTTCCGCGAGTCTAAATTTTGATATATATATATGTTGTGTCCGATTTAGATTTCCGTCCGATTTAGGGTCAAAAAAGGGAAAAAACGGCAAAAATAGCCAAAAATCGTCGTTTTTGAGCACTTTGAAAGGCCCGAAAACCCTTAAATTTCAACGAATTTCCACAAACTAAAAGCTTATTACCACTAAATCGAATACGGAGAATCTTTTTGCTGAACATTATCATGCTCTAAAACGCCCCAGGAAAAAGTTGTAAAACTATACTTTTATTTTCATGCATTTTTAAGTGCCTCAAAGTTTTTTCAGAAAACTCGAAAACTGTTTAATAGATGTATATTGAACTATATTTTACTTTACTTTTGAAAGTAAGTTAAAGTAATGCACGAGAGAGAAGACACGAAATAATTCCCTCGGTTCTATTTAATTGTCCGCCACTGTATATATAGTTGATTAAAGTTAAAAACATACAAGAATTCAAAACAGAAATCGAGTAGTCGTAGCAAAAGAGATTTCTTAAGAGTTTCTAAGGAAATTTCTTAAGAGTTTGAACTCACAAAAAACCTAGTGCACACTGTAGCATAAACGGATGGCGAGAAACATAGGTTTAAAGTTAGACTACGCGACGCTCCGATCTATGAGGGGCGCTACTATTACAGGTATTACGGTATTCCCAAAAGTACTCAATCAAACAGCTGAATTTTCTTCTATTTCATCCATCCTGGGTCGCATTTTTGACTTTCAAAAATGTTTTTAAAACGATTTTAAAACGATTTTTGAAACTTTTCACATTAAAGTGAACGCTATTTTCTTGAAAAAGTCAATTTTTCTGACGAATTTTGTTGATTTAACGTTTTTCCTGCTTAATGAAATTTGGGAAATTCAAAAAAAACTAAAGAAATTAAAAAGAAAATGCGCTCAGAAAACTCATTTAAACGATTTCCATTGAACTTTTCTTAGATCCGTCAAAATTACGGTAACTCAAATGCTGCCGAAAATTTTTTTTGATTCTTATCTTGAGTTTTCTCTCTAAATTTGAATGAAAAAAAGGGATTTTTCTTGTGGACAAACACTCAAATTAACTCAATTTTTGAGAGCCGCAAAAAGCGAAGAAAAATCAACGAGATTAGAGATGTGAAGAGAGCGGGAGACATCTTGTCTCCAAGAAAATCTGGCAGAAATTTACATTTTACAAATTTTCGATGATTTTTGGCGATTCTGGATGTCACACTGGCTTTTGAAATGAAATTTGAAAAAAATTTTGACAAAAAATTTTCCAAAAATATTTTTCTCGCTTTAGTTACCCGATTTGAACCTTTGCCATTCTTTTATTTACCATTTTTGAAGGTTATTTGGCTATTATATTCACTTGTGTATTCCAGAAATTCGAATTTTTATGAAAAATGTCGTTTTTGCCCTTCATCAGACATGAAACTCGAGCCGACCTCGAAGCGAGGAACACGCAATTTTTCCAGTCATCAAATTTTCGTTTCCAAAGCATTTTTTCAAGATCAACTATTGCAGTGACATCCAGATTGACCAAAATTTGCTGAAAAATTTTAATCGATCAAAATCTGGCGATATTTTCGAGTCAGCCCGGTTGTCTCACTTTTCTCAGTCACCAAATTTTTTCCCTTTAAAGCACTTTTTCAAGACCAGCGTTTGCAGTGACATCCAGATTGTCTAAAATTTGCTGAAAGATTTTAATCGAGCAAAATCTGGGGTCAATTTTTACCCAATCTTGTTTGCGCTTCGATGAACTTTCAAAAATGACTCAACCTTTCCATTCTTAACTTTAATTTTTAAGATTTTCAAGAAAATATAAAACTTTTCAAGCAAGTTAATTTTATTTTTGAATTTTGGAAGGATGAAAACACAAATTTTTATGCTAATCTGATCGTTTTCTCATTTTTCTCATGTTCACTCAAGATTGGGCGTTTTTAGAGGCCAAATTGAAACTTCGCTCTACTTTCGACTAAACTATCATAAACTATGGATGTCAGTACATTTGTTTTTGAAGTTAATTTTTCAATTTGATAAAATCTACATCTTTGATCAGATGGCCGAGTGGCTAGTGTGCTTGGCTACGAGTCACACGTCGAGGGTTCGAGTCCCGGGTGTGCAGATGATTTCCTAGAATTTGCCAAAATCTGCCAAAATTGTAAGCACTGATTTTCAATCAATTTCGACCATTTTCAGGTAAAACTTTTCTGCAATTGAATGCAATTTTGCTCGAAAATTACAGCCTGGAGGCGGTTGTCATGTGGTTAGCTCAAAAATTGCGGGTTTTAAGGAGAAATTTGAAGTTAAGGAGAAAAAATTCAGGAAATTGCGGGTTTTAAGGAGAAATTGAAATTTGAAATTTCTTTGAGCCAAAGGCAACATTTTTTAAAGGGGAAAATGAGGGAAAAGTTGCGAAAATGAAAATTTTTTTTGTAACAATTTGAAAAGGGGAAAAGAAAATTGTTGAGAAGCCGCCTATTTGAAAAGCCATTTTCTTGGTTTTTACCCAAATTGGACCGTAATTTTGATGAAGAAATCGGGTTTGAAATTCGTGATTTTCTCGATTTTCTCAATTTTCTCAACTTTCTCAACTTTTTCATTAGGAATTTCTCATTTTAAGCATTTGACGTTTTTTATTTGTTTACCGTAAGCCTTTTTGCTTTCCGGGATTGATTTTAAAAGCATTTTCTGTTTGGGAATTTGATTTTATTTCGGCTAAAAGCTCTAGATCTTGGCTTGACTGGGTTTACTATTTTGTGACCCAACTACCGTATCCCTGTCTCTTAAAATATTAGATACTGTTATAGAAATCATTGCAAACTGTTGCATGACATCCAGCTTGATGATCTAGCTGACAACATTTGAGCCCAAACCTCCCAATCGTACTTTAAGGTCTCATTCTCATTAGCTACCGTAACCCTGATATTTCA